ATCATGTTGCACCGTGGTTTGATGATGATTGCAAGGCTTCAAAACGGAGATCTAGAAAAAAAGAAAAAATTTTTAGAAAAAGTTGTAAATTGTCTGATAAAAATGAATGGCCCTTAAAGAAAAAACTGAAATTTATTCAAACAAACGTAAAGTATATTGGAAGAAAGTTGTCAATGAAAACAGTAAACCTCCAAAAAGGTTGTGGAGGGTGGTTAATAAAATGTTATCAGGTAAACCGAAGTTATTTCAAGACGAGATTACGAGATTCATTGAATGTATGGCGGAGGTTAATCTGTGGATGTCGAGAAATGAATTGAAGCTTAACCAGGGTAAAACAAAATTTCTTCCTATTGGTACCTGGCAGCAGTTGGCGGACTTGGATATAAATTCAGTTGTTATGAATGATAAAAAAATAGATTTCTGTAAAGCAGTGTCGAACCTAGGTTTTATAATTGATTCAAACCTAACAATGAAATCTCATTTAAAGATGATCTCTATATCATGCTTGGCACAGATTAGAAGAATGAAACGAATTCGAGAATCACTTGATAAAGACGCAATGCAGACTCTGGCGCATGCGTTGGTGCACTCACGTGTCGATTATTGCAATAGTTTATTTTATGGACTCCCGGCTAGATCCATCAAAATTCTGCAATCGATACAAAACCGTACTGCCTGGATTGTGGCTGGATGTCGATGGTATGATCATGCCACACCGATCCTGAGTGATTTGCATTGGTTGCCCATAAATAAAAGAATTGTTTTTAAAATCTCTGTCACAGTTTTCAAATCACTAAATGGTCTGGTTCCAAAATATTTATCAGATAAACTGAAATTAAAAACGTCGATCGCGTCTGGTGTGCGTCTGAGGTCTGATGATTCGAACATTCTTGTGGTTCGTCATAGACAGCTAAAGATTGGATCGCGTGATTTTGCTGTGTCAGGCCCTGTCGGCTTGCCGTCAGCCCTCAAAATGCCTGGAATGAACATTGCTGAATTTAAAAGACAATTAAAGACATACCTTTTTTCATTATAGTTCATCTCTTTTCATTCTTGCTATTTTGTTATAAATATTAGTTATAATTTGATAGCGTTTGTGAAAACTGCTATAACGAACGCTATATTAAGTTTTCTATTAATAATAAATAATAATATATATATATATATATATATATATATATATATATATATATATATATATATATATATATATATATATATATATATATATATATTGAGACAATAAAATATAAACTATTTTGGAATGGTCAAAAGACGGCCAAAAATAGTGTTGGAATTTTTGTCAAAGAACCGCTAACCCAAGAAGTACTGGATATTAAAAGGATTATTTCACGACTCATGTGGATCATGCTTCGCCTAGAAAAGCAAACAATGCTATTTTTTCTGCATACGCACCACAAACAGGCGAATCAGAAGAGATGAAAAATAACTTCTGGGCTGCGTTCTCTGACACCATCTCAACAATACCAAAATCTGAAACAATCCTATTGGAGGCGATCTCAATGGCTACGTTGGAGAGAAAACAGATGGTTTTGACAACGTGCATGGCGGTTTTGGCTATGGAGAACGGAATGAAGATGAGAACCGCATCCTTGAGTTTGCTGAAAGTCACGGGTTTTGTTTACTGAACACATATTTTAGAAAAAAGTTGGAACATCTCATAACATAAAAAAGTGGACCATCAGCCCCACAAATTGATTTCTTTGCTGTCAAGCAAAAACACTGAAGGCTATTCAAAAACGTCAAAGTTATACCTGGCGAATCATGTGTAGCTCAACATAGACTCATTGTGGCAGACCTTGTTGTCGAACTGTCAAAACATAAGTCTAAACAAATGCCTCGGAGAATCAAAACGTGGAAGCTGAAAAGCAATATTCATCGGGAAAAATTTAAACAGATTGTCGCCACACAGTTAGACCACCAATCGCAATCTAGTACAGATTGGAGTACATACAAAACCGTTTTGATAAACGCTGCAATTACAGTTTGTGAGAAAACTGGTACAAAATGTCAGCATGAACGGGACACTTGGTGGTGGAATGAAGGTGTACAAAATGCAATAACTGAAAAGAAGGCTGCATACAAGCAATGGCAAAAATCAAAGTATGTTGATGACCATAAAATTTTCCGTGAAAAGAACATATGCAAGACGTCAAGTCGCACTGGCTTGGACAGATCAGTGTAGAGAGTAGCTCACTAAAAGCAAAGGTGAACAAATGAAATCTCTGCATCGTATAGCAAAACAAGCATAGCGTACGAAAAAAGACATAGTTGGTGCCTCATGTATCAAAAACGACAAAAATGAGATGGTTCTTGAACAAGATGGGATCAAGCTACAGTGGAGAGAATACTTCAACCGTCTGTTAAATGAAACAAATCCCATCAATGTCAACTTTGACGCTCCACCCATCGAAGGTCCGAATCCAGACATCACTGTAGAAGAGCTTACAGAAGCTCTGAAAGCTATGAAGGATGGAAAGGCAGCAGGACCCTCTGGACTCACAAATGACATTATCAAAGCATCTGGTACTGCAGGTATTCAAACGTTACTACAACTTTGCCGTGAAATCTGGAGAAGTTGCTCAATGCCGACTGAATGGAACTATAGCATGACAGTTCTGCTATACAAAGGTAAAAGAGATCCATTGAACTGTTCATCATATCGGGGTTTATGTCTGTTAGAACACTCCCTGAAAATTGTTGAGAAAATCATTGAGAGAAGATTAACGTCGTGCATCACAATCGGAAATTATCAATTTGGTTTCCTAGCAGGGAAATCAACAGCAATTCACATCTTTCGGCAACTGCAAGAGAAGTACCTCGCAAAGCATCAACAACTATCACACATTTTTGTTGACCTTGAAAAAGCATTTGATCAAGTTCCCCGTGAAGCAATCAGGTGGAGTCTACGTCGACAACTCATTCCAGAATATCTTGTTCGACTTGTGATGGAAATGTATACGAATACTAAGACTTTCGTCAGCAAAACGGTTGGAAACATAGATGCATTTGACATCGGCGTTGGAGTTCACCAAGGCTCGATTCTCAGTCCACTGTTATTTATAACTGTGATGGAAGAATTCACAAAACCGATACGCACTGGTGACATTTGTAATCTAAAATATGCTGATGATATAGTTTTAACAGCCAAGTCTGAGCAGAATTCAGCACAGATGTTTGAAGATTGGACCATCAGACTAGCCGATCATGGATTCAAAGTCAACATCAGCAAAACCAAAGCAATGAACACTGGTGAACCCATCCAATCCACAGCTACTGGACAATGGCCATGGTCAGTTTGTAAAGCTGGTGTAGGTAACAATTCAATCAAGTGTCAGCAGTGTAACAAGTGGTGTCACAAACGTTGTTCAAAAATAATTTGTACTTTATATAAAGTGTCCAATTTCGTTTGTCCTGCTTGCACAATCCACAGCAACAAATTCAAAAGAGCAATGTTTTTGAAGCCATTAAGGTAGAGAAAGTCACATCGTTTCAATATCTAGGGGATGTTTTGGATTGTATTGGAACAGCTGAAGCTGCCGTTCGAGCACGTATACGTGCAGCCTGGAATAAATGGCATCTCCTTGCCTCTATATTGATGCGGCGTGACATCCCACTACCACTACAATCAAGACTTTATAAATCTGTGATACATCCGGTGTTGTTATATGGTGCAGAAACATGGCCAATGACAACCAAACTGGAACAACTTCAACGAACATGCTCCGATGGATGCAAAGAATTAGTCTGAAAGACCACATCAAATCTACCGAAATCCTGCGTCGTGTTGGTTTAGATGATATAAAGAACAAATGCCAGCAACAACGTCTGCGGTGATTTGGTCAAGTCAAACGAAAAGGAAACAGTGCCATAACTTCTCTTGCAGATGTTGAAGTACCTGGCACACGTCCCAAAGGCCGTCCAAAGAAGTCCTGGTCGCAAACAATCGAGCAAGACAAGAAAGCTCTAAATTTAAATGAAATGGATACAACTGATCGTCTAATTTGGCGCAAAAAATTGATGGCAAAGAAAACAACGTCCTACCTCGGGGAACTGGGTCTCTGGACGCAAAACGAAGATTGATTGATTGATTTGATTTAGACAGTCAGAAATGCAATTATTGATGAAAATAACAGCATGTTCGGCGTTAGTTAACTTCCAATTTAACTCTTCGATTTTTCCAACGGTTGATCGTAAATCATTTTCAAGTTTCTTTAGTTCAAAACCAAAATTTTTGTTTATTTTATGCTTGATAGAACAGAAAAGCTTTTTTCCGTATTCCTATACCATCTTCGGCGTTCAAATTGATATGTTGTTGTGGTGCCCAGATATTTTTATACTGTGCCTATTTAAATACAAACAAACAAGAAACCAATAAATAGGCACAGTATAAAAATATTTGAGCATCTGGGCACAACCACAACATATCAATTAGAACACCGAAGATGGCATAGAAATACTGAAAAAATGACGCTGCGATATGACACATTTACAAGTAAATCGGTAGCTATATAAACAACGCAGAAACGAGATTCAGGAACAGAGTGAAAACAACGAGGAAGAAGACGGAACACAGGGAACTAGAAGTGAGATTCGATGCGATGTCGTAAATGTAGCTATATGGATTAATTTATTATTTCTATTACTGCTGGTATTAAATAAACGTTCATCTTAGTTTGCGTTTAAAGTTGTTGTGTTCATCTATTGAAAATCTTGAACCTACGGATAAACGAACTCTTGACTATCTTTGGAAGCTACAACACTGTGTTGGAGATATAGCGAGTATTGAAGCTATAACATCGGTGTTAGTAGTTACGAGGTCGAGGAGGTTACAACACTTGTGTTAGAAGTGGGATCATCACTGGTGACAGAAGTAAGATTTTGATAGCTATAAACTCACTGCAGTAAAGAACGCCAGGGCTAGGAGAACTCATTGTAATTAGTCCGGTGAGAGATGCTTAATTATTGACGATTGGCTGTATTCCGTGATTTACCTGTCGATTAGTTATTGTGCTGTATTCTAACGATTTTAACGACTAAATAAACGAGAGATTGATCACAGCAATACACACAAGTGATTGCCAACACCGTTTTCTTTCTCATGAAGTTCATCTGAAATAAGTCTGTTAAGGAGTCAAGAATCCACGTAGAGAAAAATAACCATACCCTACAAGTTCAAGGGGTCAGTTATAACAATATATAAAGGAACGAGGTTTTTATTGATTCTTTGATACAAATGTCATTAAACATAATTGCTACGTTTGTTAACATATTAGTAAGTAGCTCAACATGACAAAGCTGTTGTAATTTATATTTTCTAGTAATTAGTATTTAAGCAAATACTTAAGCAAATCACGTTGTTTGTTTCTTATACGTATGCTATGGTGATGGAGCTAAGCTAATGTAAAATAATGATACCAGGAACAAGTGCTAGAGATTTTCAATTTGCATTGATCTACATTATAGTGGCATTTGAGTGAACCATCCAAAATGAAAATTAATAAAAACCTCAGCAAACACAGAGAAATATCCATCAGCTTGATCCTGACCGATGATGACAGCATGTCTCTTGGTTAGACCTGACATAACAGATCCTTGGAATTCTGACGGTGCAGTAACTTCCACATTCATCACGGGCTCCAATATGTTCCATTCCCCGTATTCAATGGCTGAAAAGCATGTGTGTGCGTGCGTGCGTGTGTGTTGTGTGTATAACAAATTACAACTTTTTATTAAAAAAAATTAGGAAATTAAAATTAATAAATAATACTATAGCGATAGAATTTAATGAAAATTATGAATATATATATATATATATATATATATATATATATATATATATATATATATATATATATATTGGTAATAGACCATAATTTTTACAATATTCTATAAATTCTACCAAATATTTTTGGCGTTAATATGTTTGTAGTTCGAATTTTCTCACTAAAGTTTTTTAGTGAACGTTAGTTTAGTAAAATTAAAAATAAACTTATTTTCCGAATTCATGCTGATTCATGCTGAATCAATGATTCATGCGGTTAAGTTTATATAGCACTGATGATGATTCATTCGGAATCGAAATATGGCCTTATTTGCAGCATGAATTCAGAAAATAAGTTTATTTTGAATTTTAATAAACTAAAAGTTCACCAAAAAACTTTAGTGAGAGAAAAAAAAATATATATATATATAATATATATAATTAGGGTTGAGACTGTCGTTAATATAATTAATAGAAAATATTACTGCATTTTCAGCTTTGATTAGTTTTTAATTCATTTTCATACTGTATTTTTATCATTGAAACTTATTTATAATTAATAAGAAATATCACTGCGTTTAGCAAATAAAATAAAGAAACGAATTCAACAAACAGGAAACACTGCATAATTAATTCCCACAATACAATACAAGAAAGACAATACAATACACAACTGAAAAACTTGAATCACATATGCTTCCACAATTATAAAGCCGATGAAAAAAGAATCTAATTAATCAGATTAATTATTAGTTGAAAAATAATATTCTGAATAGATTGTAATTTGAAAAAAATCCAAACTTGAACAGATTAGCACAAACTCGACACACTAAAAGGAAATACAATAAAAGAAATAGTTGTCTATATCTAAATGAAGCCGATATCAAAGCCTGTCACGCATTTACTGACTGATTTCATCTAGCTAATTAACGAACCTTGCTTAATAGCTCCTTCAGCAGCCAGTTGAAAAGAAAATTCACATGAATCAACAGCGTGGCTGGCACCTGTGGTTAGTTCATTTTGTTTGTTCTTTGACATTTATTAGTTCGCAATATAACTCATAAATATACCATCCAAGAGAACAAATTTGAGACCGGATATTTTGTGACCTGTCAGCGCCCCCTTTTCACACGTTTGTCGAAAACCCTAAAAGTACGTCATGAAATATTTCTATAAATCAACGCAATAATGCAACTCATTTTTAACAAAAACTTTTTTATACATTAGAGCCCTGGCAAAAACAATTTGTTCGGCATTTAGTCGCAATTAAACTTCTTTGCAACATCCACATCACATACACATTTACATGTAGCCGCAATTTGCTAATTAATTCGCTGATTGATTTCTCAAGAACACTCAAATCATGTGAACAAGAATTGAAAAAGCAACGTTTCAAGAAACCCACATTTTGAAAAAATAATAACGTAAAAAATTTAATAGAATAAAAAAATCTGTATTGAAACCTTCTCAATTGCAGGTATGAAGTGTTTCGGTATGTTGGTTCCAGTGGTCTTGTCAACAAATTCCAACGAAGTGAACTGATCTGGAGGGAGAGGCTGCAATTGTTCACACGTTACTTTTTAATTCCATTATTCATCGTCATTATCTACTCACTTATTAATCCAAGTACCCATCATCATCAACTCATTCATTACATTATTCATCATCAATAACTCAATAAAGCAATTGATACAAATAAACAACTAACCAACCTCAATAAAACCAATGACCTTTCCGAATTGACCTTGACCTCCAGACTGTCTCTTGTGAGTATAATCAAATCTGAAAATAAATATAACAAGATGATCAGCAATTACCAAATTTAACAATCTTTTACTATCACTGCAGTTTTAGATTTTAAATGAAGCATTTATATAATTCACGGAGCATTTATTTTAAAAATTATTTGACCCAAAAATCACCACTTGAAGAACTTTGAACGGCATAATGGCTCAATGATTGCAGTCAGAGTGTCAAAGTCGGAGTTAAAATATTTTTGGCAGTCTTACAAAAAAAATTTAAAATTTCATTTTACGAATGTTGTGAATTAGATGTTTCATGATCGTGTATTTTATAAATAGTTCGCTATTATCTATAACAGTGATTCAGATGCTATCAAAAAGTTCTTTGCAACAAATTTCATTTTTAAATGAGAAGCGTAACTTTAGACCAATTGGTATGAGAGTTTTTCAACTGTTAAACGAAAAAGCTAATACCAAATTTTCAAAAACATTTTTTTTATAAATTTCATAAAAAAATTGTTTATAAATAAAAACTTTAAGAACTTATATCAGAAATTTTAAAATTTCAATATTTCGTTCAATTTTCAATGTATGAGAAATAATTAAAACTTGTAACTTCACGATCTTGTAATTTCGAATTTTAAGTCTAACGAAAAACAATGTATGGCTTTTTAATATTTTCAAAATATGGTACTTTGATTTCACCAAGACATCAATTTTACAAAAAACAACCTTCAACAAGTTATGCTTATCACAGTTACGTTATGAAGAAACAACTTAAGATGTGACAATGTGTCGCATTTTAATGTCGCCATTGGGCCATTACATTGGTGTCCGATAACACTGTTACTTTTATTTAACCTTTTCAACTAGAACTTAACACTTTTCATACAATTTTCTATTTCTATTTTTTTCCATTACTATTTCTATTACACCGAATGTCACAAAAATATATCACAACAGGTATGTAATCACAGCATCGTGCATTAATCCCATCTATAATGCGAAAAAAGGTTGATTTTGAAAATGTAGAATTCAATTTATAAATCTAGCGGATGAGGCATTTGTTGGGTAATGGTTCTAAAGGTTAGCAATTCAAATTCAGGACCATTATAAAGCAAACGATAAGATTTCAACTGACGGTTCGAAACATCATCAAATGTTTGTGGCAAACAAATAAAGTAGTAACATGCATGAAACTAACTCGATTTGTTTTGTTAGGGACTCTCTGAAAGCCACTTTTGGTTTGCCCAACACGCACTTGGTATTATACTCTCGTTCGAGTCTCTATAAACCGTTTTAAAACGACTAAGTAATTAAAAGAATATAACAAATCAGTTCAAAAAATTATTTTGAAAATAATCGCAAATTATCATCGCACAGCAATGGATTCAACAAACTTGGGAATAGATTTCTAGATGCAACTCTCCCATACCGGACACAATAGTTTCCTTGCTTTCATTATCAAAGTAAACTCGAAATGTTGGGTCTTCTCTGGTGAATCGATTGATCCCCTTTGAAAAATTGTCCTGTCCTGATTTGTCGGCTGGTTTAATTGACATTGAGATGACCGGCTCAGGAACGAATATAGTCTCCTGCGAGATAATTAACAATACAATTAATATATAAAAATTTACAGTCGTGACATCAAGACATTGAACATTAGTCATTCGATCGACTTCTATCGTGGCCTGAGGTAATCAACGTTAATTAGATTAGGCTACGTTTTTAACAGTGGTGTGAAACATTTTGGCAGCACAGGAAAATAACGAAAAAAATTTCAAAAAACAAAACAAAAATAGCCAAAGGCTTTAAAATCGGCAGCATTGTTGTGGTTCAATACAAAAGAGAACTAACCATAGACAGGTTGAGGTTACCTCTTGAAACAAATGTGTCTCCACTGGCGCAATCAATGCCAAAAAGAGCGCAGATGTCTCCGGCATAGACTTCCTGTACGTCCTGTGGCGATGCACGCATCATTTCAATGCATTATCCATTTATCGTACGCCGAAAGAAAAATTAAATAATAAACATAGGCATCATGAGCACCACTACATAAATAATCATCACCGTCGCCATTACATACGTCTGCTATCAATCACAGCTATCACGCTGATTTTCATGCAATGACAAATACTCATTACAGACATGGTTAGTTAAGTTTGAAACTGAAAAGCTGGAAAAACTCATGGATCGCATTTAAATTTATTTATTATAATTCGCTTTTTAATATTTTTAAATTTTTTTAGAGGTATCATCAACACACAGTGCATGTGAAAACAGGCGAGACCACGCATCACACACGTTGCACGTGATAGGCGGGCATTTCTCTGCAGATGAATCCGGCCACTGTAATAGCGTTACGCCATTGCGCCGCCAAGCATACGTGACAGTTTATTAGGATAAACGGAAAATGTTTTTGTTTTCTCTGGCTAATATCATTTGATAAATCTTATGCATAAACTCATCTGCTTCAAGCCGGTTACGTGAGACGTTACGATGTTTCGGTCCTTAGCAATCGACGGAAAAGTTCAGCCCAGCGCAATGAAAACGATTCATTTATAAGGCAGCTCTAACGTTGATCTTTATTCAAAAAAACAACGCTTCATGGTTGATGAAGCTAGGAAGGAATTCTTAATTAAGAATTATTTTCAAATTAAAAAATAGAAATAAGAAAACATGGAATGCTATGCTTCATCGATTTGCGTAGGCACATGAATCTGCGTGGAAAAGATGGAGCATGGATCACCCAATGTTGACGAGTATAAGGGTATCTACCTTAGGAACTCCAGGTCATGATTTTCTATCAGAGTTTATTCCTTTAGCCTTTAGGTGAGTCACCATAAAATGGTTGAGAGCTCTAAGCTACTGGGTCTGAAACGCCAATAGACCACCTTCGTCTCTTCTCCTGCTAGTAAAAACAGCTTCGCCGGGCATAGAACTAAGCCACACAACAAAGCCAGAAGCTGGAATTGGTCGTCAAAGGATATCTGAGACGCCGCCATCGATAGCACCTTATAGGTTGCAGGAGCTTATTTCTACAGCCATTCCCGGCATTAACGACTTATGAAGCCGGATAAAAACTAATAATAATTTGAAAATTTATCCATTTATGTTTTTTTTATTTCATATCCATGTGTATAACCATTAAAAACAAACTTCACAAAATCAGCTCATCGGTAGCACCTTATAGGTTGCAGGAGCTTATTTCTACAGCCATTCCCGGCATTAACGACCTATGAAGCCGGATAAAAACTAATAATAATTTGAAAATTTATCCATTTATGTTTTTTTTATTTCATATCCATGTGTATAACCATTAAAAACAAACTTCACAAAATCAGCTCTAAATCTTAAATATTTTTAAAAAAGATCACCATTTACAAATACATTATCACAGCAAACATCTCGTGCCCCTTCATTACAATCCATCGTCGTCTTGACCGGCAGAAGCGTAATAACATTCTTTCCAAGCCGACATCTCACCTCCATTTGATCCGCATGCATTCTGACCACCCTGGGAATTCTGATCTTCTTCTGGGTCCTGGTGTTGTAGATGATGTCTCCCTTCTTCAAACAGCCCTGATACACGCGCATGTACGTCAACTGTCCAAACTTGCCTGCCTGTCATCGACAAGATTTTACTTTTTAAGTAACATTACCTTAGTCATCATCAAGAACAAAATTCATCAAAATGCTTCTTGTAACTTATTGTGAGTCAACATAACTTATTTTTCTGTAAATAGCATCATTGCAAAGCTGCTGGAAAAAACTTTTCTATCGAATACTTGTGGGCACACTATTTAAAATTAGAGTATTATTACAAATGATTTAAATACAATTCGCCAAAAGATGGTCAGCCAGAGAATAGGTGCAAGAGAGCAAAACATATAAATTCTTAACAATATAATTCATACCTCTCAACTCAATTCAATTTTATTTGCATCGTGAATCATTTTTCTTTTTAAACGCATTCAATTTCCCAATCACACATTACAAATAATAATAATAATAATAATAATAATAATAATAATAATAATAATAAGATGAAAGGAGAAGGACAAACCTCTAATTTGAATGCAAGTGCAATGAAGGGATTGCTGCTGTCCCTTGCTGGATTTAAAAGTACTTTCACCTCTTCCGAACTGCAACATTAGTAATTATGACAACGATAACTATTGAAAAACAACGACAGTATTAATAATGGCAACAACCATAACAAAGATGAAAATATCAGTGAGGATAACGAAGAAAACAACATCAGTAAGAATAACAATAGTATCGACATTACTAATGATAACCGATGCAGAAATCACATACTGAAACGCAATTTAACTAATGTACCCAGTTTCATTGAGGGCAAAGTTGTCAACTTCGGCAGGATTTGGCAGATAGTCCACAACAGCATCCAACAGAGTTTGAACTCCCTTGTTCTTCAAGGCTGTTCCCATAAGAACTGGAGTGAATGTTCTTTTCATGCAGGTCCGCCTGATTGCTGCCTTGTTTAAAGGAGATAATAATTGAGCAAGTTATAATGAAGTTATTGTATAAGTAATACTCACCGCTCACGAGCGCCGAGTTACTCATAAATATTCATCGATTATAACTATTTTACATGCAAAACGCCTACTTTAATATCATCAATGCTTGGTTTCTTTTCTTCTAAAAACATCTCCCCAAGAATTTCATCAGCATTAGAAACACATTCTGAATTTTAAAAAATCAATAATATCATTATCATCATCATCATCAATCCTACAAATTAATTCTGGTGTAGTTCAAGGATCTGTACTTAGACTTTCAAACTCTCTAAACTTATCGTAGCTCTTCATTTAAAATAGTCGCAAGAAAATAGCATAACCTCCAGAGCACCCATCAATCACTCGCACGAATCAATTAAAAATATTACACATTCACCTCCACACTTAATGTAGCCCCTCATATCAATCACATCATCACAAAAAAACTTCAGACATTTCACGCACTCAAAACACTCGGCTCCCATGGTCTCAGAGGCATCAAATTATTTGACATCACTAAATCAATCATCATCTCACGCATCAAATATGCAGCTCCTCCTGGTCGGGCAATAATTATTTAACTACTACAGTTTCTATCAAAAAATTAATTCGCTACAATAATTATTCGTTATTCGTTCAATTTTGTTTATTCTTCTCTCCTAATGAACACATAATTTATTTATTTACTCGTTAAATAATTAATTAATTTGTTCGTTTGTTTCTAAAATCATTATTTTATTTTCCATGCTTAAACCTTCTTACTCCGTTATCAATTTTTCCTATTTTAGAATATTATCTTGCACGTTGCAGCAGATTTTGATTTGCAACAGACTTTCAGATTTTGATTTTTTTACATAATAATAAAAAAATCATCTTAATCTGAAAACTCTTTAAGAACATACAGATTGCAACAAATCCGTCTGGCAATAAATATTAAAAACTAATAAACATTGTGCATATTTATAAAAATGTATTAAAATCTGCTGTTCTGTGGAGATCTTTTAAAATTTAATCGTACAAAAACTTCAAACAATCATAAAAACAGTGCTACAGTATATCAGTGATATCCAATCAATCATACATATAGCACGGTCCCAACAAAAAACAAACAAACCAGAAAACAAATTAACTAACTAATTAACAAACCGGAAAATCAACAAACCAGCCAATCAACAAACCAGCCAATCAACCAATTAACAAACCAACCAATCAACTCTTGTCTTCTTTCCTCCGCTTCTTTCAGCATCTCACCTGGAATGGCTTCTTCTACTAATTTTAGCCTTTATATATATTAACAAAAATAATTTGAACAGAAAAAAGAAAAGTGAAGAAAAATATAACAGAAATAAATGAAACAAAGTTGTAACTTGAAAAACATTACTACCACCACAGACACAAACCCTTGTGGTTCTTCAAAGTAGATGGCTTTCATGTGCAGAAGGTCAACTAGACCTTTTTGCTGAGATTCCAGTCCAATGGGCAGCTGAAGGAAGGCCGCGTTGTGATTCAATTTTGATCTGAAGTTTTAGTTTCAATCACACGTCATCAGTCGCAATCACACATCATCAGTTGTAATCACACGTCATCAGTCGCAACCACACGTCATCAGTCGCAACCACATGTCATCAGTTTCAATAACTACACATTAAAGGTCTTAAGCAGAATTTTGATTGTTCAATTATTCCAAGTAAAACAATTAATTCAGTTTCAAACAGCATCAAAATTTTTCCACATTCAATTAGTTCACAGTCGGTGCACACGCAAAATATTGTATGCATGCTGTAGAATGTTTCTGACACAGAATATAAAAGAGACGAAACGAGAAAGGAAGCATGCACCAAACATGAAGGCTCAGAGGGACCACAACACGCACGAACATCGTATAAGAAAACGTGCTAAACGACGCATCAGACACGAAGCATGTAGTAGGCGGGGAACTTTTTGTCATACAATCGAATCGAACTGCACGCTCAAGGCAAACTTAACCACTGGGCCATCACGCCGTCCATCGAGGAAACAAAAAAAACATGTTATCACTGGACTATAAAAAATTCCATATAATATTAATATGGAGTAACGTTACTATCACCAACAGACCTCAACTGTGCAAGAACTCTTTTTGGATTGGAGTTGGTTCTGTCAAGTTTATTGATGAAAGCCAAACAAGGAACATTGTACCTAGCCATCTGTCTGTTAACAGTAAATGTCTGACTTTGAACTCCACCGACAGCACAGAGAACGAGAACAGCACCATCAAGCACCCTCAATGCTCTTTCTACCTCTACCGTGAAATCAACGTGGCCTGTACGTCAGTTAGCAGAAATTTTAAAATCGATGTTGTACAATAATTTCAATGATATAAAAATGTTGTATCAATTAAAAATAAGCTAAATAATTGTATTATATTTATTCTTCACTAATGTGTTAATTGCGCTAATTTTATAGAGCCTTGTCACTACCACACATCATGAAAAAACTGTTTTATTTGAAATATTTATACAGCCATCAGTCCTCATTTAAGAGTGCATCTCAGCAAACTAGCCCACTCTGAATCAACCATAAAAACAACTGTTGGTTGGTCACCTCCATTATTTCCCTAAACTGTTTCCCTAATTCTTTCTACCTAACGCCTATTCTATCTATATTTGACATGCGTATCTAGTCTTTGAGTTTTATACAGAGAGTATTGGAACCATGCCATCGCATAAAAGCAGCGCGAGACATGACGCCACTACCGGACTTGGTGACCAAATGAAAATATGTGGATAAATACAAATTACATGAACGTTATTCAGAACCTGGTGTATCAATAATATTGATGTTATAATTTTTCCACTCTGTGTACGTGGCAGCAGACTGAATGGTAATGCCTCTCTGCCTCTCCAATTCCATAAAATCCATTGTAGCTCCAACTCCATCTTTCCCTTTCACCTTAAATCAAGTATGTTATATTCTATTAACTTTTGTTTTAAATCACAGAAGAAAATTTGAAAAAGTTTGTAAGTATATATGAAAATAAAAATATAATTTACACTGTTTTGAACAACATTGTGCTGTTTTAAACAACACTGACAGAATAAAAATATTTGAAGCAAAGTACGACATTTGATATAATTCTCCATCTTTTCCTTCATCCAACTATGCTAACCATCATCCATTCACTCATGCATTCATTCATCTTTATTATTATTATTATTATTATTCAGTTCTTTTTCAAGTTTATCAAAAAACGATTATTCATGCATTAATGCATCAATTTTTTTATTCAATTTTATACAGAGAATTCAGAAAATTTGAGTGCGCACTGCAGCGATACAAAAAATTTTGGTAATCGAGATCAGTATGAGAACTGCATAAAATTGAGAAACCAAAACAACAATGATAAAGATTATTTTAATAATGAAAAAACAAGCAAACTTCGTGCATCTCATCAACTCGACCACTGTAGAAAAGTATTCGTTCGGTTAATGTTGTTTTACCTGAATCAATATGTGCTGATATTCCAATGTTACGGATCTTTTCAACTGGCTTGAATTCCTGTGTTAAAAATAACTTTTCTTACCAAAAAATTAGCTAAGAAGCATCATGGAAGTTTTAGGTTAACCTCTTTTTTTCAATGCAAAACTCAGAGATACCAACAACAAACAGCATACATCAATGCACGTGAAGCAATGCATTATAAAAGATGCTTATACGATAAATATTTTTGAATTAAAAACTGGCCAGGGCAACGCAGGACCAGACACCTTCAACCATCTCATTGCAAAGTACAAAAATTAGTATGCAACTAAATTACTGCGTCAGTAAATTAAATTACCATAAATCTTTTCTATTTTATTTGAAGGATGACCAAAAAAAAGATAAACTTGTGGATAGGCCACTCTTAACTAAAAAAAATTCAAACTATTAATGTGACAGAAATGTCAGATAAATACATACACACAAACTCACGCTCCCACACACACACACACACAAACACACACATACACACACACAAACATACTTCATATTATTATTCATATCATAATACTGTTATAGTTCCTATATCAAACGGTAACAATATAGTTCAAACTGAGACTGAAAATTCGCTCACTAAAAACATGTATATATGCCTCTTCATACTTAAAAGCAGCATCGGAGTGGGTAGAAAATTTTTTGCCTGAGTTGGGATTTTGTGAGGGACCAAAGTCGGAGTCGGATATTCTTCATCCAACTTCGACTCTGGAAATTGTTATGAATTTAATATTGAAAATAAATTTAAATAGTGTAAATAAAATCACATAATTTTCTTTCAGAATGTCTTGAAACATAAATGTAAAATTATTTTAGTGAGAAAAGCAATTACATTAACTGGTTTTATGTTTTTTTAAAGTATTTTTCATTTGGAAGTGTATATTCAAGTAAAATTACAATTTATAAACTGAAAAATTTTTTGTGAGTCGGAACCCAAAGTCGGAAATTTTAAGGCCGTAGTCAGATATTTTTCATTAGACCCAGACACTCTGGATAAATACAATAAATTCAGAGATTGAAAGGTATATACAAGTACTTTTTTTAAATTACATTTTTTGAAGAAAGGTGCAATAAATCTGGATGCAAGTTATCCACGAAAAAATGTTATATGTAAGAATTTATAGCTAAATGCCTGAAATAAAAAAAAAACAACAACAACAAGCTTAAACAATAAATAAAATTTAAAAAAAAACACTTTTAAAAACAAACATTACTGGAAAATTCAACTTACTGTTAATGATACCTTCTTTGAATAAAATGAACATGTTTCATGTGGCAGCTATGTAAAACAAAAATAAATATTAAAAACTCAGAAAAAAGCCAATAAACCCATTTAAATTTTAACAATAATTAAACAAAAAGTCTTGATTTTCATTTAAATTTGTAGACGCTAACAATGTCTAAATCCTGTCTGTGCAGAACTTTAACTTTACGGACCTTAAAAGCAACCAACATAATAAAGAATGGAACGGATCAATATTAAAGCTACAAAAGATGCCTTCTAGAATTATACAAATTTAAGGTGGATTCAGATTTACATTCTACAACATTCATACAACATTCTACCAACTTCATATAACATATTTTTTTTGAGCATATTCCATTGTGTTTACAAATTTAAATAAAAAATTTTACCAAAACTTCTCAGGAACATTCAACTTCAAAATAAGAAGAGGAAACTAAAACTAAAATAGTAAAGAAACTGTTCTACCATAGGGGTGCAACTAATTTTTTAAATTCCATGATCAGAGACATTTCCTAATAATGCTAGAGCTTGAACTTAACCATTGACTGAAAAAAAAAAACTAAGCACTGGCCTTATATAATTGCATTATAACTTCTCTGACTAATTATGGTTAATTTCTAGAAGGAGCTTATGATTTCTAATACAACGGCACCAAGATTTATAATGATATATTACTTGACTAGTAAATAAAAGTAGCCTTTGTATCTCCAATAAAAAGATAGAGATAAAAAGATAAAGATAGCATTTACCAATAGCAGGAAAAAAATTGATTTCACCTTCGATATCAGACATGTATCTTAAAGATTTCCGATATGAAACAACCAATTATGAACATTACAAAAAAAAGATTCCAGGACCTAAACATGTTTGCTGAGTTAACTTCAGAGACATTGAAGGCATGAGACATCTTATCCTCCTTTGGCATGTGAAGTAGACACTATAAAACCAACTATTAGAGAACACACAGATTAAAAATACGGCAAGAGAAGGAACTGACCAAAACTTAGGAAAATCTGAAAATTACACAAACTCTATAGTACAAACGTGGAAACGTATAAGTTCAAACGTGGAAAAACTTTAGGAGTGGACATTCTCCCTCAAATAACATTTGTGAAAGAGGAAATATATATATCATCATGATCATGTACATTTATAAGCACTCTACGCAGGACTACCCAGTGTTAGTTCCAGGGTTTGCTATTGAAAACTCTGGTTTGGCCTTGTCGCATACATTTAACCGTCTTTTCCATTCTTCTCTATTCTGGGTCAGTTTCGGTTTCTGGCCCAATGCCCTCATGTCTTTTGAAAACACTTCTTCCCAGGTGAGCTTGGTTATACCACTTTTCCTTAAACTGCCAAATATAATAGTTCTACATTTTCCTACCTAATACTCATTCATTTGCTTTCCTCTCTACAAAGCCAAACCATCACAGTCTATTACATCTAATTACATCTGACAACTCCTCTATCCCTAAACCTTCATTACTTAAACCATTCACCAAGGATACTCACATTATCCTTCTCCACATCTGCATTTCTGTTCTCTCCAGCCTTCTCAAGTTTTTAGCCATCATAGGCCAAGTTTTGAACATTATACAATAGGCTACTTCTTACACATGCTTTATATACCTTAGCCTTCAGGCCCAATGGTATTCCCCTAAAACAGAATTTTTTTGATTTTTTCCATCCTACTTTTATTCTATTTTCGACCGCTCTATCTAGTCCACCTTCCGCACTTAGTATATCACCTAGATAACAAAAGAACTCAACTCTTTCAAATACCAAATTTTCCAGCTGCCCAGTTTCACCATTTCGCTTAGTAGTGTTATTATTTGTTTTAGTTGAGGTCTCCTTTCAAACCACAGCATCTTTTGTGTGTCCATTTATCACATTTTACACATAGTATTGAATTTAATCTTACTCCTTTATCCCAAACAGCACAGGAGAATTTACCACATTCAACAGTATCTGAATTCTCTCCATTCCACACAATTTACCAACATTTACTTTTACACCCTTTCTGTCCATGGATATTTTCCAAACTGAAAGCTTTTTTTTCAGTTACTTCTCAATTTCTGCTATAAGAACCAGGTCATCGGCATACAAAGTCTACCGTGGCAATCCACTTCTGATCTCCCTACTAATCATTTCTAATACTATAATAAAAAGTAGAGGACTTAGCGCTGAACCCTGATGTAAACCCACCTGAACAAACGACTTGCCTACACCATGGTAGATCCTCATCGCCGTCTTGACTCTTATACATACACATCACTGTGTCTACCAACCATTCTTTTACCTTGCCTTTCCTAAGTACCGATCTAATCACTTCTCTTGGTACCTTATCCTAATCTTTTTCCAGATCTATAAAAGCATAATAAAAAGTTTTCTTCTTAGCTCTGAACTTTTCTTGATTTTGTCTAACAATAAAAATTGCATCAATAGTATTTTTTCTTGGAGATAAACCAAACTACATTTCGTCAATACTAATCTGGTCCTTAATTCTTCACTCCAAAATTATTTCAATCACCTTCATAGTATGTTCCAATAGCTTGACTGCTCTATAATCTGAGATCTTTTAAAAGGGCGCTTACAAGCACACCAATAATAATAATAATATCAACAGTTTATGATACCCTTAACTATGTATATTGGAAGAATTATACTTTTCTTCCAATCTTTTAGGATTTCATTTTCCTTAATTATTATATTGAACAAATCTGTTAGTCTCTCAATTTCCCAATCACCTGTTGCCTTAAATATGTCTGTTACTAGTCTTCATTTTTCTTAGTGCCCACTCAACCTCCATCTTTATATACCCAACCTCTGCTACATTTATATCTGTCCCAATATCCCCATCCCAATCATTTTCTTCATTTAATAGTTTTTCAACATCCAGTCTCTTCCTATTAACATTTAGGTTTTGTTGAAAGTCCTTTGCTAACCAACTCCACACACCTACAAAAATCGATAATTAATTTAAATTTAGCATTGCTTGCTATTGCAAGTTTAAAGTTTAGATGTCCATATTCTTACTATTATTTAAAAAAAATTATGAACACACACGGTTACTAAATATTTATTATGGGAATGTGTCATAGTAGATAATTGTCACTAACTGCAAACATAAAATTAGTGAGCATGTTAGTTTTCTCTAAACTTGTTTTAGAAGATGAATTCATGCATACAAAATAGAAACAGTTCCCTTGATGTTCCATACCATAGACAAATCTATCTCTAGCCTGGCTCCAAACATTCTTAATATCTTGAGATTTTCAAAACTTAAGTCGTGTATCTGTCTGCATATCATAGCTGAATATATATATATATATATATATATATAAACTTAGTTACAAACTCAATAATGAGGAGAATATGGTGATATTTCTTAATAACTGAATATACAAGTCTAAACATATATATAAATAAATAAATAAATATATATATATATATATATATATATATATATATATATATTGGATTAAGACTGTCAGGTGAGATATTATTACTACAACATCCCACCTTGTGTGCTGCTGAACAATGTGTTAACCTGGCAAGATATGATACACAATTAGTAGTTCAAGTGTTAAAAGCTTTCTGATCAGGGACTTCCACAAGAGAACACTTACCTTGGGTTACTCTCTAAACTAACCCAGATACTCTCTCATCAACAAAAAATAAATAAATAATAAAATAAATAACAAATCAAAAACATAGATATGTTAACAAACAGTTAAATCAAAAGGGTAATTAATTTAATTTTTAATTAATACTCATAAAATAAAACAAGTCATAATCATAATGTAAACGTAAATCTCAACAAAAATACCATTTGCAATAAAAATTTTACTTATATCCACTAAGTAGAAATTTACAAATTGCCAAAAAATTTTTTTAGTAAAACTAGAAATTTTCTAGTTTTAGTAGAAAAGCTAGTAAAAAAACCAACCCTAGCACTGAGAAATTTCTGCAAGAATGGTGCACTACTTCTCTTGCCAATTAAATTTACTTTGCTTAAATATTTACATAATAGTTCCATTATTAAAATTATGATAGGTTTAATTTAACTAATATATTAATTGCTTTATTTATTTTAATTTAATATTTAATTCAGGTGCATGACATTCGCGATATGCAGCGGTCGATAATTAAAAACTCACTTAACTTTTATTTGTTTGATCTATTGTTTACACATAGAGCAATATTTAATGTCAAAGTTTCATATAAATAACACTCAAAAAATAAAAAAAAATTTTTGTTAGATGATTAAAATTAAAATAACAAAACAAAAATTTAATTATAATTAATAAATTATGAAAAATTATAATTATAAATTCAAATCCAATCCCTTTATATCGATCATTCACTTTTATTCGTTTTACCTGGATTTTAAATCTTATTCTAACTAATGAAATGTAAATAGCTGAATGATTAATTAAAATGGGGTCCGAGCCAGTTTTGTTGAATGTTTTTTGGCAGTTGTGTGTGTTGCTGCAATTAATAAATGTTTCCTTGGTTCACGTCAGCGTCGGTGAAGCTGGTAATATTTTTGATGGCATCGGAGCAATAAGTGGCGTTGGTGTGAGTTACTCCTTTTTAATTTATTTTTATATTTATAAGTTTGCTTTAGAATAACCTGATTTATTTATCTAAAACAAAAAATCCAAATGAGTGTATAAAGAACGTAAATAAAATCAATTGAAACAATATGAAATATTACAGAAATTATAAATGAATAACCAACCTAAAATAGAAAAATTAAATTCCAGGATCGTTTACAAAGCCAACAATAATAAAATATTACCACGTGCAATAATAAAATATGACCACGTGCTATTTGCATTTATATATAAGATGATAACAAAGTAATGAAACCTAATTTACAAGCACAGAATAAAAATAGATAGATAATTATATGAAATATAATTTACATCTCTCTCCCTCAAGTCACTTTTTGAGGTACATAAAGTGACAATTTATTAATGTGAAAAAAATGTGATTCCTTCTTCTTTCCACAGTCTACTTCGAAGACCGACGATGAAATCTTGCTGAGAATTTTAAACGGACCAACTCTTATTCTGTCCATTTTACCTCTATTAAGTTTACTCCCATTCTGGATATAGACTTGATTGCCCACTTCAAATTTGTATTCATGACGATTTTTGTCAACCCTTTTCTTGTTTATTTCAAAATTTTGCATAGAATTTCGACCGGCTTGTATTCTATCTGCAGCTAAATCGCTTTCCGATACGTCATATGGAGTGATAGTTGACTTTATGCCGTATAATAAGTATTCAGGTTCAAATTACGTGGAACTATGAATTGTCCGATTGTATTCTTTGACATATTCGTCTGCAATAACGGACCATGCCTGTTTTTTTTCACTGTTAAGTTTACATCTTATTCTTTTTACAAGTGTTTGGTTTAGTCTTTCATTTAGTCCATTTGATTGAGGGCAATCTACGCAGGTAAAAACCATTTGAATATTCATCTTGTTTAGATACTGCTTTAGTTCTGTAGAATTAATTCTGGTGTACTGGTCAGCTAAAAGTATTTTAATATTATTTTTCTTAGCAATCGGATCAATTAACTTTATGAAATCTGCTGCGCATTGACTTTTTGTAGTGGAAATCCAAGCATATCTACTAAAATGATCTACCAAAATATGCATATATTTCTTTGGTGACATATTACCGGCAAATCCACCAACTGTGTCAATGGACATAATTTGGAATGGTTCTGTCGCGGGTCCTAGTTTTGACATTAATCCGATGATTCTATTTCTTCTAGTTTTGTTCTCTAAGCATATAGTGCAACTTTTACAAAATTCTTCAATTAGTTGATCAAAGTTTTTGAAATAATAAAATGGTCTTATTTTCTCTTTCAATGTTCCAGCTCCAATATGTCCATAATATTCATGTACCTTTTTTATTATTCTTAAACCAAATTTATCAGAAACAAATATCCTTGATTTGTCCTTCAATTTTTTGTAAATAATACCATGGCGTTTTTTAATCTTCTTGGCACTCTTTAATTCAGTCATGTTATCATTTTGATCCTGAAGAATTTCACGACTTTCAATTAAATTTACAACTTGGACTGCATCCTCATTTTCAAAATATTCTAATACTGGTGATCGAGAAAGTAAATCAGCCATTATATTTTTCTTTCATTTCTTATAAATAATTTTAAAGTTGAATTGAGACAAATAGTGCACTAAATCGCCCAATATTTCATCTGTTCTACTTTTCGTTTTTAGATTCTCAAGAGGTTTGTGGTCACTACAAACAACAAATTCACGACCAATCAAATAATATTGCCAGTATTTTATTGCGTCTTTGATAGCTTTGCATTCAAGATGGATGATGTCCATTTTCTTTTCTTTTTCTGATAATTTTCTTGAGAAGTATGCGACAGGATGTAACAAACCATCAGGATGTAGTTGTTTCAAAGTAGCTCCCATTTCTTTATAACTGGCATCAGTTTCAATATAAGTGTCTTTGGCTTTATCGTAAATGGCTAAGATTGACTGAAAACATAAATATTCTTTTATCAAGTTGAAAGAATCTTCACAATCTTGGGACCAATGAAACTTAACATTTTTTTTCAAGAGCTTATGCAGTGGTTCAAATTTTTGAGCACTATTTTCGATATATTTAAGGTAGAAGTTAATAGATCCATCCTAACACACTTCTAACTCCTGTTTTATCTGTTGGTCTCTTAAGATTCTTGATGGCGATTAAATTTTCTTGAGCTGGTGCTACTTTATTTTCTTGAATAAAATGTCCAAGATATTTAATGGTTTTAGCAGCGAACTTACATTTTTCTAATTTTAATTTAAAACCTTCTTCTGTGATAATTTGTAGAGTCTCTTCAATATGAATAATGTGTTCTCCCCAAGAGCGTGAAAATATAAGTATGTCATCAATATAGTTAATGCAAAAATTGTCCAGATTATTTCTTCTTATGATATTGGATAGAATACGTTGAAAAATTGCCGGAGAATTTTTAAGACCAAAGGGTAAAACCTTAGACATGAATTTTCCATACTTAGTTATAAAAGAAGTCTTTTCTCTATCTTCCTTTTTTAATAATATACACCAAAATGCAGAATTTATATCAAGTACAGTGAAATATTTGCAATTTGGTACCTTGTCTATGACATTATTAATAGTAGGGAATGGATAGCATTCAAGAACTACTAATTTATTTAATCGTCTGAAATCAATGCAAAGTTTTGTCCGACGACCATCATCTTTTTTAAAAGAAAGAGTTACTGGCGAGGCATAAGGGGATTCCGATTCTTCAGTTAAATCAGCTTCTAATAACTTCTTGACTTGAGTCTTGATTTCCTCTTCATCAACTATGGAACATTTATATGGTCTTGCTGTTACATATTCATCTCTGGTCAATTTTATTTCTGCTTCTTTCGACTTCACTTTTCCTACATCATATTTATTTTTTGCAAACATATGTTTGTACTTGTTTATTAAATTTAAAATATCTTTTCTTCTATTTTCATCTTCAATGTGGTCTAAATTTTCACACATTGTCTTATTCATATTTTCATTAAAATTGACTTCTGAAATTTTAATTAAATTATTTTTTTCTGCCTTTTGTAGATTAAATTGGTTGTCAGTCAGTTCATCTGATTTAACCATGTTGTGATTGTTATTCATCTTATCTCTTTCTTCTATTTTGATGATCTTGTTTTTATTAATTCTTTGTAGAATGTTAAAATTTTCATCTTGAATTAGTTTGAACTTTTTTATTGCATCTAGACCCAGTAATAGGTCATAGGAAAAATTATTATTTTTGACTACGTATGTATTTAAATTATCCGTTAAATTACCAACCTTAACAACTATATTTGCCCGGGCCGAACTAAAATTGAGCCCACTGATGGTTTTGAAAGTACTTTTATTATTCATTAAGCCTAGTTTTAAAATATCTATGATTTTCCTATTTATTAGACTTATATTTGATCCACTATCATAAACCGCTTTAACTTTTAATTTATTATCGATTATTACGTTTACTCTTATACATTCAATTTTCCCGGGCTTTCTAGTTTAAAGATTTCTTGTCAATTTCAATTTTCATCATATGTGCTTCGTCATCTGTTTGGTAGTTAGTGTCATGAATATTAATTTCTCTTTTAATGAGTAAAGAGTCTTATTTCTCCATTCATTTGTTGGATGGTATCGATTTTTCCAGCCCAATTCTTCACACATAAAACATGGTTTATTTGCTGTGGTATTAATATTCTTCTCTGACCTGATAAAATTTGGTCTAACGAAATTTTCTTTATTTAGAGTGTTATTTTCATGTCTTTGATTTTGTTTATTTAGAGTATTATGTATATTCTACTTCTACTTTGTATTTTGGTACCGAAATTTCTTTGTCTACATTTTCATATCTCTGTTTGTGTTGATAAAGTTGCTTTGTCTTGACGTCCGTATTGTATGATATTTCATTACTTAAAAATTTATTGTCATATTTTGGCTTGATGTTAGAAACACATTCATCAATTTTTGTTAGTTCTTTGAACAGTTTCTCAATGGTCGTTATTTCTTCTCTATCAAGCTGGTTTTGTATTTCTACAGGAAATCCCATAACGATCATGTTTATTCTTGACATTTCAATTTCTAAATATAGGTTTTCCTTCGCTAAGGCATAGTCTATTAAAGAACCACCTAAATATTTGTAATTATATGCGGTTCTTATTTTTTTCCAACCTCTATCTGCAAAAATGGTCGGAATGGACTTTCTCCATTCTGACCAATTAGTTAAGCCGATCTTTTTTATGATTTATAATTTTTTGATATAATTTGAAGAGACAGAAAACAATACCTATTGGCATGCAATATGAAATTTCTTTTTTTTGAACCAGATTTGTGGATTGGAATGACTTTGATATTTTAAGGGCACTAGGAAAAACCTTGTTCCATAGATTTGTTATATAGTGTGGCTAATATGGATGAGATAGATTGGATATTAAATATGCTTGATAATTTTATTTGTTATATTATAATGATCTGGTGCATTTGAATTGGGAGAAGAATTTCAATGGAAAATAATTTCTTCAAAGTTTGTTGGTTAAAAAAGAAACTGTGCATTATTGTAGATTTTTTGCTGTAGAAAAAATCTGCCATCAGTAAAGTCATTATAAGACAAATTTGTGAAAAAACATAGAAATAATTTGTTATTTATTTTAAATCATCAATTGGTTTCTATTTATAAGGATAGGATAATTCAAAGATTCTTTTTGCTTATTTATAATTGTTTTGATTATTTTTCTAGTGGTTTTAGAACCTCCTCCCTCTAAGCAGTTTTTAATCAGATCAACATTTGCAAAAAGAGTATTTGGTTTTATGTCCAGCTTAGGCTCATTTTTTGGCTTATTAATGAGGTCAACTGTTCTAGCATGTGGGGTCTCCTGAAGAGGAGTAGCCTGGTTTGGGCTAACAAGTTTATTAAAAAAATAGCCAGAGCCTACAATTTTGAGTTTTTAATTTTGGACTTTTTGCTAATCATATTTGCGTCAGTGTTGTGTTTTGTGAGGCTGGTTTAGCAATGTAAGTAGAAAAAGTAGTTCTAGCACTTTTTCCCAAATATGTAGATATTTGATTATTTAATTTAATTTATTTTTAAGCGATAAAATTTTGTTGTTTAACATTGTAAATTGGGAACGAAAGTTTTCTAAACCAATGTCACTTAACTTAGGATAACGCTGGATTTCTTCTGCATCCTAATCACTTGGAAAGTTGAACTGTACAGCAGCATATGTTGGTAGATAATGAAATATTTTCTTGGCCATAATATGAGTTAAAATATCCCTAATATCGTTTGTAACTTTACGGTTTTTTCTTTTCTTTGGTTGTGCTCTGTAACAAACAGTTTTTTGTCAGGCCAGTAAAAAGTAGTTCTTGGTTTTGATTATAAGTAGCCATCCAAACATTTTTTACTTCGTAATTTCTTATCCAATCTATCATCCTATTAAAAAAAATAATGATTTATTAAATAAAATAATAATTTGTTAAATAAAATGATTTTTTGTCATATTGTAATAATAATTTATATAAAAATAATAATTTATTTACTAAAATAATAATTCATTAAATAAAATGAGAATTCATTAAAACTTTTTCAAATGTATTTTATCTTGTCATAGCCTCTTAACCTAATTGTCAGCAGAATTGATTGGAGTCAAAGATTTTGTGTCAGAATTTTTAATGATTCGTCGTCAGATACTTTCCATTTTACATCGGAAAGTGTTGATAATTTTAAAAATATTGCCTGCGTTGAAAAAATTGATAAAGATCTTATATTCAATCATTTTACCAATCAGAAAATTCTTCGTGAGAAAATTTTTCGCAGGAAAATTCTCCACAGGAAAAATTCATCGCAGGGAAAATTATTCGCAAGAAAATTCTTCTCAGGGAAAATTCTTTGTAATGGATTTTCAGTTTTGCTAAGTGCTCTATGATAAGGCTGTTGTTTTATTGTTTTAATTAAATGAACAAATTCTGTTAAGTTTATTGCTTCAGAAATTAAAACATTACTCTATAGACAACTTTTAATTATTTGAAACAAAGATATTGTCCATTGTTTCCTTTATTTCGTGGTTGCTCATCTTTTAAGCCATTGATAAATATCCAAAGAGTCGGGTGACTTACTCCAATTAATTTGCCAAAGACTCTATGTCATCCTTTGCAAGAATTATTAGTTTTGGGAGCGCCCATTAATGCAGCATCATTACAATAACATAGTTCGTATCGAAAACTGGAAGGGCTTCTTTGACGACGATTTGGAAGTCCCATCCATGTGACTAATACCCACCCCTTCAGCTGGAAATTCTCCTGATAGCTTTTCAAGCTTTTCAACAATATCAGCTAGGGGTACAAAAGCAAGGGCCGCGAGCATCCACATCTTTAGAGCAAATTCAGCGTCTGTTTTATAACGTTGTTGAAAAATATTAGCTTAAATGTTACGCAAAATCCACTGGCTGAAGTGGAAAAAACAGCCTTTTTGTCTCGAAGCTGGGAACGATTCACCAAAAGCATTAATAGCTGGCAGTTCAAAGTCGGTCATAATCGAAGCTGGGGCCAAATTGGGCTGTAAGCAAATAAGTTGATTAAGAAAACCACGATAAATTTGTTCAGTTTTTGATGGTAATAGAGCAAAAACCGCCGGGATAACACGGTCACCATCAATACCATGAATTGTGTATAGTTGATAGAACAATAGTTGCACAATTTCGAAAGTTTCATCAGCGTACCAATTTGTCGAACTGGAGAGGAGTTAAAGATTGATTTTTTTTATGTGGAAAAAATGAGAAACCGATATGGACCATCATTACTATAGGCAAAAGAAACTGATCGCCAGCGTATGTAATTTGATAATCGGCTGGAATATTGAGTTCTTCCAGTGAAGTTGGATTTGGTGGAGAACGATTCACCGTCTGTCTAGCGTTGCGAACTCCTTTTTTGAACGTGGTAATTGAAGGCAGTTGACCAACGACTGGTTGTGATAAATCAACAAATGCATCCTTAATTAACCGATGAGTGGCATTCTGCTTTGTTTTTGCTTTTTCTTTGATCACGTTGACAACCCATGCTGCTTGGATTTTTGCAACATTTGCAGCATGGTTATGCTCACGTTTTAAAATTTAAGTATCGTCTGAGTGTACTCGGGCTCGACAATGGATACGTTGAAATTCGCTGCATTTCCATAACATTTTTTGATCTGTAGCTCTATCCTTGACGTAAGTGTGACCAGTGTCTAATTTTTTCTTTTTCGCATCACATATTCGAGAGATATATTGTCAGAAAAGTATTAAGACAAAAATTTATTAAAAATACAGAAGAATTTTTGAGATGTCAGTGAAAACACCCCAATCACATAATACTAACCAATTAATTTTTTATCTTCTAGCGATGAATTTTTAGCAAATAGTTCTTTTAAAATACAGCAATTGTTAATGTCGCAAAAGTTTTTAATTATGAATGAAAACGGTGACCAAACAAAAAGCCCGGACAAACCCCGTGTGCAATAAACCCCCGAACAAAAACGCACACTAAAGAAAATTTCGAAACAACTCAAAACAGAAAAAGCGCACAGTTTTTGTTCATGGATTTTTGTCCGTTGCATTTTTGTCAAGGGGTCTTTGTTCGGGAGGTTTTTTTTGAGGGGTTTTTGTCCGGGGGTATTTGCCAATATTTTTTATACAGCTGTAAACAATAAGTGATTCTTAATAATGCAAAAGAGTACTATTTTAAAGTATATTGTTATAACCGTGCTACCGTACGCACTAGATTCTAGCGTATTCTAGAATGTTCTAGTGACTGGAGCATTCTAGAGTATGCTAGAATCGGACCATCTAGAAGAATCTAGAAACGACGCTTGCGAAGAGTGTATAAGCGCACGTCGCAAGAAGATTAGCGATTAGTGAAATTCGTGATTTTGTGATTTCGTGAATAGCGATTCTGTGAATTATTTAAAGCGATATTTGATTTGTTTGTTGACGTTGTCATAGCGATAGATTTTAAACAATTTAAAAGTTAATTGTTGCGTTAATTTGAATTTGCTAGAAATAAACGATTAGCTGATTTCTTCTGTAAATAAAGTTTAATAACTAATAACTGTTTGGAGTATTTTATTCAATCGAAGATCGTAAATCGGTTCAGCTACGAGAAGAACTACAGAAACGAAGCCTTGTCACAAGTGGCAACAAAGAAGTACTAGTAGCACGTCTGAGAGAAGCTCTCATTGACGAAGGTAAGAAACCAGACGAATTCAAGTTTGATGGTGCTGACGAAGACAATGATATTAGCACAGGCACGTTTACAATTGCTAAAATGATGGAACTTCTGCTTAGTATGTCAACTGAAATAAAACAACAGACAAAAGAGTTAAAACAACAGATCAAGGAACAGTCCGAACGACAGACAGAGGAGTTAAAACACGTAAAATTGGAAGTGGCAGACAGATTGAAGAATTTGAATTTGCTAGAAATAAACGATTAGTTGATTTCTTCTGTAAATAAAGTTTAATAACTAATAACTGTTTGGAGTATTTTATTCAATCGAAGATTTGAACCCGACGCATCGTAAATCGGTTACGACAGCGAGTATTATAACAATATTTTTAAAGATAAATATTAAAAAATGGTTATACTTTATATAGTATACTATATAGTTATAATGATTTTCCTCATTTGATTTCAAATGATTGAAAAGTGTCTTATTTTATTATAAGGTAGAGAAATTTATTTTAAATTACAAAGCAAAGTTTGAAAAATTTTATAGTAGTCGGAATCTGAGTCGGGAGTTGGAACCGGAAAGTTTTTCAGAGTTTGAGTCGGGCAAATTTACTTCAGGTGTACCTTTAGGCAGGCATACGAGATTGGTGTAATTGAGTTTATCTGTTTTGCAATTAAAAATCAATTTTAATCAATCTATTTTCTAATGTATTATCAGTGTCAATAATTTCCACGTGACGTAGAAAAGTTGCCAAAAATAAAAGATATTTTAAATTTTCTGTTTTTAACAAATTATTCCTTTTTTGAGCAAAATGCTAATGTAGAAATGACATCAATTTTGATACTTTCGTTTCGAAGTGCATAGTAGGTGCTTATATCAATCAATACATATTTTTTAAATGATTATTTAATTTTTATTTGAATTATATATAGTTTCTGGCTGATGTTAACGACTGATTTTTAATCTGTTTCCAGGACCTCTTAAGCCAATATTCATTTTTAAAGATGGTATCCACTAAATATTAATTTTTTTAACTTTATATAATATTTTGCTTGATATATCAATATGAAATGTTCGTTTTTTTTGTTGTTTTGTTTTGCATTATATTTGAAAAAAGTGTGGTTTATCGCTTTTTTTAGTTTTAATGATGATTTAGTTATTGTGCCCAGACCATATGGCCTAAACTAATTATTTTTTTTAAACATTATTTTAGTGAAAAGTGGTTTTATTTTTAATATACGGTATAATCGGATTTGAGCTGAGACTTTAGTTAGATTTTAAACGATTTATTATCAGACATGCTCTCAAATGACTCAAGTTATTTGACGATTGAATATCTTTATTCTAAACAAAATTCATTAAAATTACATGAAAAATTTTATATATAGATATGATTTTTTTTTATTCAAAAAACAAATCATTTTTATATATCGGCAATATGTTGCATAAAAATCCGAGTCATTACTGAAATTTTATAGTTGAAGATTCCTTGAGATCATTGCTTTTGTCGACCTGTGACGCAATTTGTTAAAATCTTTATTTTATTTGCAATTGAACATTTAAAAAGAATTCAATATTTTAATTCTAACTTTACATCATACATAGGCCACTTCAAAATTGCTGGTGAACTACCCTGAGCAACAGAGAAATGAAATTTTGGATTATCTTTTTAAGGTAATTCAATTGAATATTATAAAATTGATATTTTTTAAAAAGATTGAAGTTACAGTAACCTAACCTCGTCTCGACAACACAAATGATACCACAAAACTTGTAAAAATATCAGCTAATAGGCAATTTTTGGTCGGTTACAGTCTCTTTGTTTCAAAAACTAAGTTGCCAATAACTTTGTCTGAATGTTAAAACATGATGCTTCTAGTTTAAAGATAAGGCCGTGGTTAGTAATGATCGATGTGCTAAAATGACAAGTTATGATGACATTACTTCTAGTTAGGCAAACCTCCTGAATCTTTAAACTTCTAAATATAACTAAAAATTTAGATTTTCATATTTCCTTGTTTTTGTTGATAATTTTGTAACGTAGTTAATATAGCATAGCATCTGTTAAGGATGCTTATGAACATGCGACAATATTTTGATATGATAGCATAATGGTGATGATAATAAAAAATATGATCAGTAATTTAATTTTTTAAATTTTTATGTCGTAAATTATAATTTTTTGGATCTTATAGTGCAGCCCAGTTAAACGCAGAGCTGTTTGCGTGTTATTCTAAACTTATAATTAAACCTTCGTACCACAAGGCATGGACGTAGCCAGGGGGAAGGGTTTGGGGTTCAAACCCCCAGAAATGAAGAAAATATAATAATGTGTACTTATGTTTAATTGAAAAATTTTCTTAAAAAATATTCTATAAAATTTAACGCTATAAATTTTTTGTTTTTGCAGTGAGACATGGGCTATAAAAGCGGAGATATGCAGAGTATGGAAAAGGCATAAAAAATGATGATTAGGTGGATATGTGGCATAACACTGAGGGAGATGAAAACGAGTGAAGAGCTCCGACAAAGGTTAAATATAGTAAAGGTGTGTGATAGAGTGAGACAGGGTAGATTGAGATGGTTTGGACACGTGGGACGGAGAGAGGAGGATAACTGGGTGTCAGCGTTTAGACATGTGATAGTTGACGGGGAGAAGGGTAGAGAAAACGGAGGAAAAACTTGGAAGGAGTGTGTGGCAGATGACATGAGAAAGATGAAGTTGAGAAGAAAAGATGCACAAGAGCGCGATATATAGAGGAGTGGCATCCTTGGAAACCGTCCAACCAATCCGTGCATACGCGGAAGCAAGGACATTAAAACGATGATGAAGTTCACGATATTCGATGAACTTTAGATATAATTAATAAATATTGTCTTTGGTAACAAAAAATCTTGACATTAGATCATGTTTGTAGTTCCCCGTCTTCCTTTTTTGCCTGTTGCTACGACTAATCGCGTTAAAAGTTGTATAATAGTATATCCGATTCTATTGAAATTTAATTTTCCTTGATTTACTGTGTGATACGAGGTGGGTTCACAAACTCGAACCTGTCATAAGATTTAAAGAGATTTATCCAGCGATCATAGTTACTCTTAATGAACTGAAGAATCATCGAAATAGCGAAACTTCCCAACAAGCAGTGCAACTTCTTTGTACTACCCTTGATTCTGATTTTGTGATTGCTTAGTAATATTAGAAAAAGTTTTGGGTTATATATACATTTCCACTTTTAAAACAATTGCAAGAAACTGAGAAACTGACACAAACCTCACCGTGGCATGCTTACGTATGGACAATATACCAAATTATTTCATAAATCTGCTTTGGAGAGCCTGGATATGTGCAATAAAAATGTACACATTACTACAAATTTTGACAACTTTGCCTGTATCAACTGCAATTCCAGAAAGAACATTCTCAAGCCATGTCTGTAGCAAGGATCTCTGCGGTGTATATTGAAGTAATTCCATGAATCCGTATCCTTTGCCAGTAGATCACCATTGCTGCAGACGTTGAATTTTTCCTCGTTGACCCATCCGTATATAGTTGAATAAAATTTAAATTGTTATTAATTTTTTCTTTAACTAAGGTTTTTGCTAATTTCACATCTTTGCCCATTCCTGTTATTGTCGTATCAATTTCTGGATGCTTTAGTAACCAAGGAGAAAATTCAAACTTTAATTCATCCACGGTTTTTATATTTTTAATGTCTTTGGTGAATTTATTTAGTCTTATTGAAAATGTTGGAATTCATTTTGATTTTGGTACTTTGGCTTTTGCTGTTATGTATTTGTATGCCGGGTTTTTTGTTATCTGAGTTTTAACTTTTAGATTTGGATCACTGACTGGCCGCAGCATGGAAATTGCAGAAATGCTCGAGCGTAGAAGGATTGACATCTGCTGCCTTCAGGAAACCCGATGGAAATCGAATGGTGTCTGTCATGTCAACTCGGACAAAGAAAAATATAAACTATTCTGGAATGGTCAAAAGACGGCCAAAAATGGTGTTGGAATTTTTGTCAGAGAACCGCTAGCCCAAGAAGTACTGGATATTAAAAGGATTAATTCACGTCTCATGTGGATCAAGCTTCGCATAGAAAAGCAAACAATGATTATTTTTTTTGCATACGCACCACAGACAGGCGAATCAGAAGAGATGAAAAATGACTTCTGGGCTGCATTCTCTTACACCATATCAACAATACCAAAATCTGAAACAATCCTGATTGGAGGCGATCTCAATGGCCACGTTGGAGAGAAAACAGATGGTTTTGACAACGTGCATGGCGGTTTTGGCTATGGAAAACGGAATGAAGATGGCAACCGCATACTTGAGTTTGCTGAAAGTCACGGGTTTTGTTTACTGAACACATATTTTAGAAAGAGGATGGAACATCTCATAACATACAAAAGTGGACCATCAGCCATGCAAATTGATTTCTTCGCTGTCAAGCAACCACACCGAAGGCTGTTCAAAAACGTCAAAGTTATACCTGGCGAATCATGTGTCGCCCAACATAGACTCATTGTGGCAGATCTGGTTGTCAAACTGTCAAAACATAAGTCTAAACAAATGCCTCGGAGAATCAAAACGTGGAAGCTGAAAAGCAATATTCATCGAGAAAAATTTCAACAGATTGTCACCACACAGTTGGACCCCCAATCGCAAGCCAGTACAGATTGGAGTACATACAAAACAGTTTTGATAAACGCTGCAACTACAGTATGTGGGAAAACTGGTACAAAACGTCAGCATGAACGTGACACTTGGTGGTGGAATGACAGTGTACAAAATGCAATAGCTGAAAAGAAAGTTGCATACAAGCAATGGCAAAAATCAAAGTCTGTTGATGACCATACAATTTTCCATGAGAAGAACAACTATGCAAGACGTCAAGTTGCACTGGCTCGGACAGATCAGTGCAGAGAGTGACTCAATAAAAGCAAAGGTGAACAAATGAAATCTCTATATCGTATAGCAAAACAAGCTAAGCGTACGAAAAAAGACATAGTTGGTGCCTCAAGTATCAAAAATGACAAAAATGAGATGGTTCTTGAACAAGATGAGATCAAGCAACAGTGGAGAGAATACTTCAACCGTCTGTTAAACGGAACAAATCCCATCAGTGTTAACTTTGATGCTCCACCCATCGAAGGTCTGATTCCAGACATCACTGTAGAGGAGCTTACAGAAGCTCTGAAAGCTATGAAGGATGGAAAGGCAGCAGGGTCCTCTGGACTCACAAATGACATTATCAAA